AGCTAGTATCCAAACTATTGATATTATAGTTGATAGAGTACTAAATGGGGGTTTGAACCAAGTGGTGAGTCCTTGGGTATATAGCTTATTCTTTCGGACAATTTTAACATTAAGCTAATAGGCCGTATATACAAAATAGCTGGGCTTTTGAATTCCTGGCTTTTCACCAGTTAGCTTATAACCATATTCTTAGGCAAGATAGGGAACCTCTCTGTCTTTTGGGTTTTTCATCTGTAAAACAGAGACAATGTACTGATCTCCCAGTAGTGCTGTCAGGATTAAATGGGTTAATACAGGTAGGTAAGTGGAGTAACTAATCACAGACTGTTAGTATGGTTAAGTACTCAAGTAATTTTGGTATCTCCCATTTTACAAGTATGAGACTGAGAATTCTTAAAACCTGCCCAAATGTACGTATGCTGTCATATGTACAACTTGAATCATTCTACCAAAGGACATTACTTAAGATGCCATGGTATAGTACATTAGTTACTCTTAAAGACATGAATGCAAGAAAAAATGAGAAATATGAGTGAAAGTTGGTAGTACAAATATAAGGCAGTATTTGATTACCAAGCAAAGTGATAGACTATAATTGCACAGTCTAAAAACATAAGTTTAAATGCAGACTGTCTCTAACACCTTTTTAAGGAGGGTCAAATTACTTCTCTAAGCCTCCTTGTGTTACAGGCATAATGAGAAAGTCATCAGAGTTGATGAGAGCTAAAATAAAGTTAATTGCAATTATTTAGGAAAGTATATTTTACATAGAACATTCTAAGATGAATTCATGAGAGGGAAAGATCTAGAATGTGTAAGACTCAGATAAAAGATTTCATATAGAAGGAAATTGAAGCTAATGAGATTTTTAAAATTTTATTCCTGAATTTCACTTATTTTAGACTACCACCAAACCCTTTCAACTCAAGTTGACTGAATGTTCCTCTGGATGTGCTTTTATTAAAATAGGCAAAAGAAAATACTGTATCTGATTTCCATTATTCTTATATAGTAACTAGAAAAACAAATGGGAGACTGAATTTTAGCTAAATTCCAGGATTTTTGTTCTCTTAAAATTTTATTCTTGCCAGGTAAAAAGTCTGATATATAAAACACTTTAATAAATTGGCAAGAGTTTTCCTTGAGGAAAACCTTGATCTCTAAAGAGATCCAGTGTATTGTTGCTTTCCATGTTTTTGGTTGAGAATATCATTTTATAGCACGTGCAGTATTGCAGTAGACGTCTAAGTGAATTGAATTATACAACTTTCAAATATTTTATGTATTTAGATTTAAAAGTTTTGATACCTATGAATAGCTTTACCATATAGGAAATATAAAAATTCTGGGAAAATAATGTTAGAACTAAATTACACTTTAGTTTCTTAAACTATACATTTATTGAATTGTTGATTTGTTTTTAATTTTCAAAGAGGGAAATCTCACTGTTTAATGCTTTACATTGCTATTTTAATACTTTAGTATTTCTTAGTAATTGGAGGACCATTTAAAGTGTAGGGTTTGTTTGTTTGTTTGTTTGTTTGTTTTTTGTGAGACAGAGGCTCAAGCTGTCCCCCTGGGTAGAGTGCTGTGGCATTACAGCTCACAGCAACCTCCAACTCCTGGGCTCAAGGGAGTCTCCTGCCTCCGCCTCCCAAGTAGCTGGGACCACAAGCACCCACCACAACACCTGGCTATTTCCTGGCTATTTTTTGGTTGCAGCCGTCATTGTTGTTTTGGCGGGTCCAGGCTGGATTCGAACCCGCCACCTTAGGTGTATGTGGCTGGCGCCTTAGCCGGTTGAGCTACAGGCACGGAGCCTGTTTGTTTGTTTTTAAGAGAAAAGCATTGTTATTGTTTTTAAGAACATCATAGTAATTTGAATCAAATGGTGTCCAACAGCTTCAAAAAAGGGTGTCTTGTCTGCTTTAATGATGGATAAGTATATTGAATGGATAATATAATTTGCAGTGTCTATTTGCCTGATAGCAATTAAGATAGCCCTCTTTATGTTTTTCCTTCATGTAACTTAACATCTAATAAAAATTTTTTAAAGTTCGGTCCCTTTTGTCTCACTTAAAATGGTGAATAAAAAACTTTTTAAACTCATTATATATCTGGAATATTATCCATGGTATTCCTATTAAGATAATTCCATTCTTTTCTATTTCTCACTGACTTAAAATGTAGCAATGAGCACAAATTATACATTCTAGATGATTATTTCTTCAAGCACCAACTGTTACAAAATGATTTCCAAATTTCAGCTAGTATCCAAACTATTGATATTATAGTTGATAGAGTACTAAATGGGGGTTTGAACCAAGTGGTGAGTCCTTGGGTATATAGCTTATTCTTTCTGAGCCTCAGTTTCCTCATCTGTACAATGGGGACTTATTTACTTACCAAGTCTTTACTGAATACATGTTTCTCTGTGACATATAGTATTCTAGGAAGTAGGGATTCAGTGGATAAGATAAAGTACTTGTCCTTGTGGAACTATGTTCTAGAGGAAATCTGAAGTATCTCGTGGACTTACAAAGGTTCAATTCCTGTCATTGCCCTTTCCTTTCCTGAGCCTTAGTTTTCACATCTGTAATCTTCACAGGATTACTGTGAGAATATTTCATTATCTTAAGTTCTATAAGAATGTCATGTATTGTTACTACAGCAAACAAAATTTGCATAGTGTTTTGTTGGAGTAGATAGTAGATTGTAAAGTATTTGTCTCAGTTGTCTTTGTTTGTTTGTTTGTTTGAGACAGTGTCT